AGGAGAATCTGCACATTCTGATTGGCTACCTGTCACATTCAACAGGCTAGGTTAAGCTCCCAGTTGGAAAAAAACCCTGATTTAGATCGGAGCGGCCACGACGATCTAACGTAACCCACTGCATGATGATTAGATCAGCCAACGATCTAAGATTATCATAAGGAGAAAATAGGGGCAAAAAATCATGTAGTATGAACTACTGCATTAGGTAGTCGGATGTGCCCATCTTCTCTATTTAAATCTCGTGATTACTGAAGGGCAATATAGTATACAGACTTCATAATCTGCACTCTTTTGGTTGAATGCAGTATTTATTTCCACTTATGTTGTTTAGTTATTATTCAAGTGTTTTTTGTTAATGGAGACTGAGAATCCATTTTATTTTCGGTTTAGTTTATTAGTTCCAGTGTTATGTGTTTTTTGAAATAAAGTGCATCTATCTATGGCAGGAAATCACATGCATTATTAGTCATTTCCATTAAATCAGTGTCAAAAGGTCTTGAAACAATATTATCGTTTATCGCAATAATTTTTTAGACAATTAATAGCTCGGCAAAATTTGTTACCGTGACAGGCCTAGAATTGACCTTTCGCTCGTAGTTCAGTTTTATAGTTTTGCTAACTGTTGCTGCTTATATCTAATTGACAACGGTAGCGCTTCAGTCAGAAAGCAAGCAGGACATCAGCAGATTTTAATTTCTACTGCAATGCAGAATAAAGGTCATTTGCTACGTGCGCTAGACGTTTTTAAAGTTAGCAAAAGCGCTATTAACGCATTAGTGGACGTATTTCCACCACTGATTTTTAAAAAGTTTTTCACTACCGTTGGCTTATTTAGAGGAAGCTAAGTGTGCTAAACATTTTCATAGTTAGCAAAAGTGGTAAATGAAAAAATTAACTACACTTTTATTGCATTAGCAGATTAGCGGAAGTGCACATACTGATTTTTGCTAAGTTGTTTTCTCTACCTTTAGCTTATTTAGGGGAGGCTAAGTGCGCTAAACATTTTCTAAGTTGGGTAAATGAAAAATTAGCTCCACTATTAGCACATTAGTGGAAGTGTGTCCACCACTGATTTCACCAAGTTGTTTTCCCTACGTTTGGCTTCTGATTTTGACATAGTACCTAGAATAATGTATTAAATGAGCTTTTCACCCTTCATGCACAATGTTTACGCCCAGACGGTCATGTGGTTGTGCAGGTGTGGCGCTCTTCATGCCGGGGATCACATCCTGTCTGTCGACGGGAAGTCGATGGAGTTCTGTTCTCTGGCTGAAGCCACTCAGCTTCTCTCTGCTTCCTGTCAAACCGTCCGCATGGAGATTCTGCCACAACACCAGGCCCGACCGGCCCTGAACGCACCGCAGCACGGTAACACAGAGAAACTGCAGTTAGAGAGCCTGCAGATTTATGCCCAACTCCCCCTAAAGGCAGTTTGGAGCTACATTTAATGTGTCAGATCTCTGCAGAAACAAAGTGTTTATGAGGTGGAGCGGAACGTCCCCCAGCGCGGTGTAAATGTATAGACATCAAACTTAATGAGCCCTGAACAAACGCAGTGCACTCAGAGGCCTTGAATGCACCTCCGAGTGATTTTTAAAGGAGATGTATGGAGGCTTTTTTTCACAAGCTGAATTAAATTTCTGCTAAGACCAGAAGATAGAAGTAAAGTCTCCAATCATTTTTATCCAATTTGAATCAATTTTATTTATTTGCTTGTTTTCTTTTCTAAAAAATGACAGAAAATATTTTCAAAAAGTTATTTTTATTTCAGTCATCAGCATTAGGGCCAGGCTACAATTTCTTTTGTTTAATTATGAAAATATTGTAGTTTATACCCAATTTTACCAGAAAAATATTAAAATAAAAAGTTATTTTTTATTTATCAGGATTTAATGCGAGCATCTCAGTTCATGTAGTTCTTTCTTCAAAATAGTCAGTTGTTTGACAATAATTTTATGCTTTATTAATTATTAAGTATAACTTCACAAGATGTCCAACTAACTTTATAATTTTTGTTATTTTTTTGTATCTGAATTCTCATAAAATTTTGACTTTATTCAAAGCAGCAGTAGCATTGTAACTTTATTCATGTAATTAAAAATAAAAGATTCACAGCCTGGGCCTCACAGAATTAAAATAAATTCTGATAAATAGAAGCTGTAAACAAGATGACATCACTTTGGGAAGGAAATAAATCCACATTTTCCACAAATTAAACTCCTCGTGATGTGCTCCCACTAGCAAACCGCTAAAAATGAAACGTTCTTATTGTCGAGACCTACCCCAACCTTTGACCTTTGACCCTCGTCCTGTCCCTTTGTTTTAACCTCTCCTTCCTCCTCCTTGTGCATGGTTGTGCCTGTGTGCATGTGCAGTCAAGGTGCAGCGTAGTCCCCGCCCCCTTCCCTGGGAAACTGGAGGCTCCGCCCCCATCCTCCCTCCCTACCACTACAACACCTACCACCCCGACCAATCAGGCGCCAGATCCCACAACCGCCATACAAACAACCCTCGTACGTCTTCTCTCCTTGGTTCTCGGTTTGGTTTTGATGAGAAAAACCAAAAACCCGATAATGGGGGTTTCCGTGTCTCTGCAGCTCTCAGCCACTCGTTTTCTCCCGGCTCCATGTCGGCCTACAGCCTGTCGTCCCTCAACATGAGCACTCTGCCCAGGAACATGTATCCCACGAGTCCGCGCAGCACCATGATGAGGAGGAAGGCCAAGAAGAAGGACTTCAAAAGCTCCTGTGAGTCTGTCTCCGGATAAAAAGCTGACTGATTCGCTTCCTTTTCTGAAAACCCCCCAGAAATTATCCCATCTCTGAGTTGGACATGGAAGTATCAGGACCAGGCTATGAGCATTTTTGCTTAATTACGAGAATATAGTTGTAATGTTAGCAGAAAAAGACAAAAATTTACCACAAAAATGCTTTAAAATTAAGAGAAAAATGTTTTTTAGCTAATCAGTTTGTGATTCTTTCTTCAAAATAAACTCAGTTGTTTCCATGATTGTTCATGATAATAAAAGATTACGTATTTCTATTTAGCATTATTTGAAAGACGTACACCAAGTATAACTTCACAAGATGCTCCACATTTTAGTTCTAATTTTTTGTTATTTTTTTATGTTGGAGTTCTCATAAAAGTACGACTTTATTCTGGAAATTTCTGACTTTATTCCAGTAGTTTTATCTGTAAATCTTACACCAAAATATAACTTCACAAGATGCTCAGCATTTCTCATTTTATTTATTCCTCATAAAATTTTGACTCTATTCTCCTAATATTGCAAGTTTCTTATATCATTTTGATTTTTTTTTTGTCGTACAACTTTATTCTTGTAATATTGTGACCTTTTTCTCTTAATTAAAAGTAAAAACTTGTAACCTGGCCCTAATATTCCATCACAGAGTTCACCTGAACTCAAAGTGCAAACGGTTGTGAAACAAGATGGCCGCCCTGGGAAATAACAATTTTCCTGAAGATTAAATCTTAAAAATGATAAAATTGATGAATTGGCCAGCAGTGACTGACCTGTGATGTTCGTCTGCAGTGTCTCTGGCCTCCAGCACCGTCGGCCTCGCCGGTCAGGTGGTCCACACGGAAACCACGGAGGTCACGTTGCTAGGCGACGGCATCATGGGCTTTGGCCTGCAGCTCCAGGGCGGAGTCTTTGCGACAGAGACGCTGTCGTCACCGCCGCTCATCGCCTACATTGACCCAGACAGCCCTGCAGAGAGGTGAGCAGGTTCACTTTGAACATTTTATACTGTCAGTAATTTCACAAATTTTAACCAAAAATTCACCAGATTTAGACACAAACCTGCAGTTTTTGTCTTGTATGGAAAGAAATTGATTTGGAAAAATGTTTGTTTTGCCTGATTTTATTTTATAACTTTGTTGCTTTAATTAATTATTTTCATTTTGGTCTTTAAAATACAAAAACTTCCACATAACTTTATATTTTATTCTGCCTGATTATGTTATTTTCATACTTCATTTTCCAAATACTTTTACTATTTCTTGATTACATGAGCGAAAACAAGTAGAAGTTACAATTTTCATGCAAATGTAATGTAATAGGGAGACAGTTTACACTGAAATCATGTTTAAAGCACAGCTCAAATTAATTATGATTACAGTTTGGACCAATTACACAATTACTAAATATAATAATTTTATTAATAATTTTGAAAAGATACAGACACATTATATAATTAGTCAATCATGTACAGTATATAGTTCGAATATTATTTTGGTGATGAATCTTGTCTTTACTGTTTGTATATATTTGTGTATAAGTGGATGTAAGTATATTTTCTCTTTTCTCCACTGAACGTAACAATATGCATGTTTTCCTTTTATATGGCTCAAGATAAAGCAATAATAATGTTTATCAAGATTAGTTTTTTTTCATGGAGGGTTCTGTAACTCTAATGTTGTTAAGACATTCAGTTAGGAACGTTTTCAGTTTGAAATGTAAGTTTTCTGATTCCTGTGTTTGTGCAGGTGCGGCATCCTGCAGATCGGTGACAGGATCCTGTCGATTAACGGCGTCCCGACCGAAGACTCGACCTTGGAGGAAACCAACCAGCTGCTCAGAGACTCGTCCATCACGGCTCAGCTCACGCTGGAGATTGAGTTTGACGTGGCAGGTGAGCGCATCGTTTACCCGCTTTCCCAGGCTGCGGGGATGTTTGTTGTTCTGACTGATGAACAGCGACAGTCTGTGCCGGGTTCTGCTTTGTGAATGAAACACGTCAGGCTGGTATAAATAACCGCCCACGTCTGAGTTGAATACAACAACACAGCATGCTGTCAGGGATGACTCACAGACACATTGTGTGGCTTTTACAGGCGGAGTGGTGGAGATTGCTCTGATACGACAGGTTTTATTTTTCATAAAACTTGAGACAATATCCAGTTGTTTGGCTTTTAAAGGGCACCTACTGTGTTTTTATGCTTCAATTTTGGTCTCAACTGCTTCTAAAAACAGGCCAAAGTCTTTCAAAAAACACCCAGCGGTTTTTCTCCAATAAGTTAATTTTTTTTGGTGTCTGGAAAACGAGCTGTTTTAAAAATCTTCTGAATGTTACGTCACATTCCACTGTTACCTAGCAACCCCAGCAGAGTTCTGCTCGTTACCTAGCAACCCCAGCAGAGTTCCGCCCGTTACTTGGCAACCCAAGCAGAGTTCCAGCACATTTGGTCAGCTGGTTTTACAAAGACGAGTATTTTGTTTTTGACTTACCTTCCAGAAACCACTTCCTGCATTCTTGCTGGTTGTACAGGACGCTCTACTAATGCTTTTCAAAGATGTACGGTTCTGTAATTGCACATCTGTTTGCAGCCATTTTCACATGAGTGTAAACATTGAGTTGGAGGGCGTGGCCAGCAGTTTATTTGGATTTAAGGTCCTAAAACATTACCTAAGAATGACTTTGTGCAGAAATGTAATGAATATGTTTTGTATAGGCCGTCTCTTTTCTGGCCTCAGTGCTGTGACCTTCTCATGACATTGAAATGAACCTTCTTTCTGTCTCAGAGTCTGTCATTCCCAGTTCGGGGACGTTCCATGTGAAACTCCCAAAAAAACCAGGAGTGGAGCTGGGAATCACCATCAGCTGTGAGTTCACAAATAAACTGGCAAAACATTATGACCACCAGCATACAGATGGAGTCGTGTTGAAGCTAACTGTGGACTAATCATCCATCCATACATTCATAGTATTTATTTTATTTAAAAATTAATTTAATTATACTGTTGTATGTTTAATGTGCTTTTACTATTGTATAAAAACTGTTAAGTGCTTAAATGAACGATCTGCAGATTGTGTAATTTTTTTATCTGAATAATTGATAATTGATCACTAAAATAATCTTTAGCTGCAGCTTTAGTCAGGCTGGCCTGTTTCCCTTCCTTGGGTCTTTGTTACAGTTTGTGTCGTCAGGAGATTTTAAGCAAAAATCAGCCAACAATCAGCAAATGGGTCATCACAGCAGAATAATTAACACAAAGATGGTTCATCAAACACAAAATCAACCTTGTTCCACGTCCATCTTTGACCCACATCCTGCTGAAAGCTGGAGTTGAGCATCAGAAGCACAAAGCATTTACACCAGGGTGTCAATTATCTCTAAGCTTCTCTTAATTTTGCTTTTTTTAATTAAATGTTGATGCATTTTACACTGATTAACACCTAAAATTGATAAATTTCCCTCTTTGTGTGAAGCTCCATCCAACAGGAAACCAGGTGACCCTCTGATCATCTCCGACATCAAGAAAGGCAGCGTCGCTCACAGGTAAAAAGCCAGACTCACCTACTATCAGAGCATAAAGGAGTCGTTGGTCCTGTCCAGCTGCAGGAATGCAAGCTGCTCATGTTGGCGTGTTTTCCTCCCAGGACGGGAACCTTGGAGCTGGGAGACAAGCTGCTGGCCATCGATAACATCCGGGTGGAGAACTGCTCCATGGAGGAGGCCGTGCAGATCCTCCAGCAGTGTGAGGAACTCGTCAAACTCAAGATCCGCAAAGACGAAGACAACTCTGGTAGCAGTTCCAATCAGATCCTCCACTGATTACATTTTTTTTCTTTTCGTTTTAAACTAAACGAACATGTTCATGTTTTCCAGATGAGCAGGAAGTGTCCGGCAGCATCATCTACACAGTGGAGCTGCAGAGGTACGGTGGCCCATTAGGAATCACCATCTCTGGCACCGAGGAGCCCTTTGACCCCATCATCATCTCCTCGCTGAGCAAAGGAGGGCTGGCTGAGAGGTACGCCAACTTTCCTGCAACAATAGTCAGAAAACTTGATTATTCAGAGGTTTGTTAGGTTAAAACCACAACATTTAATGTGTTTTGATGGGATTTTATTTCATAAACAAACGAAAAGCTGGTGTTAGAATGGACCAATCAAAGTCAAAGTAATGTCAAACTCAAGGTACTTTAGAAAGAAAAGCAAAAAAAAAATCCAGTTTAAATAAATAATTACATTTAATTCAGTTTAATTGTGCAGACTAAATCGAGGTGGAAACGTCTCCCATTTGTTGGTTTATTTTTATATAAAAAGTAGATTCTTCTCCTCTCGTTTAATTAAGAGGAGCTGGTGAAAAGAAGAATCCATAAAAATAATGAAAGAAGTCAAACAGATTAAATATTTATTTCTGTTACACAATGACATGGAGGGCAGGAATAAAACATGAAGGGCAGCAGAGTCAGATTTATGTAAATCAGGATCTGGAATAATGTGAGAAATGTCGCCCCCTCCTGTTCATAAAAATACTAAAACTTCAGTTTGTTTTTGCTGCTTTTTACATAATTTTCAGTTATTTAAAGTGTTATTCAGATTAAAGAGTTGAAACTTAGTTTTTTAATTTGAAGTGTTTTTTTATCTGTTTTGAACAAGACTCTATTTAAACTTCGTTAAAAAATTATTCAAAATGTTTCTCACTCTGACTGATGTAGTGTGTCTGGTTTTCACTCAAATTTAAAAACAAAAATCAATTTTTGCTTTAAAAAAATGATGAATAAAGTATGATGTGTGTGTGTGTGTGTGTGTGTGTGTGTGTGTGTGTGTGTGTGTGTGTTTCCTGCAGGACGGGGGCGATCCATGTGGGCGACCGCATCCTGGCGATCAACAGCAGCAGCCTGAAGGGGAAGCCTCTGAGCGAAGCCATCAGTCTGCTGCAGCAGGCGGGAGAGACGGTGACGCTGAAGATCAAGAAGCAGGGAGAGCGTGAGTGTGACGCTCTAAACGTGACATTTATTATACTAGTGCAGAGTGTTACTGTAAAAATTATAAACATTATCATTCTCAAGATGGCCGCCATTTCTGAGCCTATTAATTTAATTATTGCCGTAGTGGCCATCTTGAAATTGAAGCGTTTTTTTTGTTTTTTTGTTTTTTTTCCAATAAAAATAAACTAAGAAGCTTGAAGATATTTCAGTATTTTCTTTTCTGTTCTGTTGAAAATAAAAACGTCCCCTGAACGCCTCGTCCGTCTGCAGTGTCGAGCCCAAAGACCTGCGTGATTGGTCCAGGCCTGGGGGCGGGGCTTAACCTGGACGGCCAGGATGGGGAGGAGGAGCCTGTGATCACTGCGGTGCCTCCGACCAATCAGAGAGCGTTCAGCACGCTGCCGTCTGTGGACAGCGCCGTGGACTCCTGGGACGGGTCCAACATGGACAGCAGCTTCTCCACCACAGGTTCGCCGCCCGCCGTTGGTCTTCACGCCCCACCCTGAGTCCGTTTGCACCAACTTGTCTGTCTCTGTAGCTCCACCTTTTCAGTCGTACAGCTTCCATGAGTGGCGCGGCGTCAAGACGACCAACAGCCAATCATCAGCCAGGCAGAGAGCCAATCCACTGTCGGATCTGGGGCTGAGCGACGACGACTGGGACCGCCCGCTGCTCGGAGGGTGAGAGGACACTCTGTGGGGTGATGCTGGTGGTCAGGGGCAGACTGGTTCCACTGGTCAGGCTGGTTAAACTGGTCAGGCTGGTTCCACTGGTCAGACTGGTTAAACTGGTCAGGCTGGTCCCACTGGTCAGACTGGTTAAACTGGTTCCATTGGTCAGACTGGTTAAACTGGTCAGGCTGGTCCCACTGGTCAGACTGGTTAAACTGGTCAGAAATACGGGGTTTGTTGTCTGGTGGTCATTTAAATTAAGCTTTTTCCAGGAGTGAAGAAACATCCATCCATCTGTCGATTCATTTGTCCAGCTGTTCGTTCGTTTGTCTATCCATCTGTCCATCCGTCCATCCAACCATCCATCCATCCATCTATCCATCCATCCATCCATCCATCAGAAATATCCACCATATTTTCATGTTAAATTGCTCCTTGATGATGAATAAAGTTTTATTGAATTGAATAAAGCTGTATTTTTTTTACTGATCCGTGTTAATCTCCCTGCTGAGCGTCTCTGACCTTTGACCTTTGAGCTGTGTCTGGGTTTAAGTTCCTCCAGTTCCTCTGTAACAGCAGTGTGTCTCTGTCTGCAGCGGCTCTAATCTGCCCAGCGGAAAAATCACTGACAGCAGGTATCAAACTGACCTTTGACCCCCCCACCACACGAACGCACAGTCCCCTGTCCACCCTCACCTGGTGACCTTTGACCCCTCTGACACATCCACAAGCGGGATGTGTGACCGTCTTTGTTCCCTCGCCAGCATGAGCGGCCTGCTGCGTGTTTCTGTGTCCGGGTCGGGCCGCTCCTCGCTCTGATTGGCCGATTCTCCCACCTTCCCCGGCAGGTTCTCCGTGGGTCACGACGGAACCGAACCCGACCAGGAGGAGAACTTCTGGTCTCAGGCGCTGGAGGACTTGGAGACCTGCGGTCAGAGCGGCATCTTACGAGAGCTGGAGGTACGTAAAGATATCGAGAACAGATTCTCAAACTGAACAGATTCCCAAACTCTGAACAGATTCCCAGTTTTTTGCAGAGTTTTAGAGGATTACTGACACCAACAACAATCCATATTTTTCTTGAGTTTTAACATCTTCACTGAACAGATTCTTTTTTGTTTCTAAACTGATTCCTGAACAGATTCTTTTTCAGCAGGTATTGATCGGTAGTTATTTCCAGTTTGTTTCTTCATTTGTTTTCATTGCAAACTCAGTGCTGGAGTTTAGCCAATAGAATCACAATTATAATGTTTTTTTTTTACAGTTTTAATAACTTTTCCTCAAACATTTAGACGCTCACATCAGTAAAGGAGAGAAACGATTGCTTTTCTTCCAGGACTCTGGAAACGAGACGGGCATCCTCACTCTGGTATCCTCCCTCGACTCCACTAACCGTTTTACTCCTCTGTAACTGGTTTTTACTGCTGTCAGACTGGGTTTAACTGGTTTTAAACGTGTGTCTAAGAGCAAAACGCAGAGACGACTTCATGGCGTCTCTGTTGCACCAGGCATGGCGGCTGATTGAAGCATGCTGGGACAGTTTGCGCTTGGCCTGACGTAGAGATTGACCTGCTAGATGTGCATGGTGTGAATCCCTGGTTTTACACTGACGCATCTGGACGTCAGATATGACTGCAGCAAAATAATTAACTAAAAAATGCACTGCAAAAACACAAAATGATGTTTTAGGACTAGTGCAGATATCTTAGTACACTTAAAATCAGACAAAATTAACTTTTCAGCAACATATAGTAGCTTATTTTAGGTCAATAATTCCTTAATATTAATGAAAAAGTTCTTATTCCTTGGACAGATTATTTCACTTATAACACGGGAAATATATCTATTAAATAATCTACCAAAATAAGGAGTAATTTTACATCAATATTAAGGAATTATTGACTTAAGCTAATTTTGTTGCTGAAAAGTTAATTTTATCTGATTTTGCACTAGATCAGTGTTTCTCCACCCTGGTCCTCAGGCCCCCTGCTCTGCATGTTTTAGATGAGCCTCTATTCCCGAACAGCCGAGTCAAATGACTGCATGACCGTCAGGTTCTGCAGAAGCCTGTTAATCACCCAGAGGTACAATCCAGGTGTGGCAGAAGGGAAACACCTAAAACATGCAGGACAGGGGGGCCTGAGGACCAGGGTGGAGAAACACTGCACTAGATCAAAACTGCTGGGTAAGATTTAGTGTTTTTACAGTGCATATATTACATCACAGTTTTCTCATATTATGGTTAATAGTAGCAATTACAGCTTTATAATAAGGCTTAAAAATAAAATCTGATTGTTTTCAGACCAGATCTGATAAATGTTTTTCTTGCTTTCTTTCTAAAAATGAAATTACAAATGACAGAAAATATTTTAAAATATTACTTTATTCATTGATGCTTTCATTGAGGCAGAATATCAGGGCTAGGCTGTCAAGTGTTTAGTTTAATTATGAGACTATTGCTAGAATATTAACAAAAAAAAATGCTATTTTACCAGAAAAAAATTTCAATTAAGAGAAAAAGTTGTGGGTCTTAGAAGCACTAATGCATATAATACCATCTTCATTTTCTAAAAATGGATACTTTAAGTTTCAACACCAACATCATACTACCTGACATGAATAAAATCTTAATAATTTCTTACATTTATTTGTTTGACCTCTTCAATGTTTGTAATAAGCTTGAAGTGGGTTTTAGATTCTGGGTTAATGTTAACTTCTATTCTCGTTTTCTAACTTATTGCAACAAGTTTTATATTTTATTAAAATTAAAGTATCTTCTGGTTTAAATGAGAAAAGTCATAACAGTAAAACAACATAATCTGAAGTTGTAATCTGTCACCTGATCGTGTTGCATTAAATCGAGGAACATCATTGTTTTAACGAGACGTAAAACTGGTGTTTTTATAATGAGACATGTTTAATTTTAAGGTAATGTTTTCTGTTTTAACAAAAAGATTTCTGTCTTGTTAAAACAAGAATGTTATAATAAAATACAAAACTTGTTATAACAAGAAACTTTCAATAAAATGAGACGCAAATGAGAAAGTTTCTCGTTATAATGAGATGAGGTTTAGGTTTCATTTGAAGCTAAATTTATTAAAAAGAGAGTTTTCATAATAAAACGAGTTTTGAATATAGTTTTATCAAGAAAGTTTCTGGTTTTAAAGAGTTGATGACAAGTCATATTAAAACATAAAACTTTTTATCATGTGAATATTTGTCATTACAACGAGATGCTGCTCCTGAATTATTTCCGAGCTCTGGCAGGTAAACGATTCTGTCCAACAATCTGCATCTGGCTGTTAAACCCGAATAACAACACAAACTAAAATCTTTGTTCTTATTAATGTTGAGCATCCTCAGACGACCTTGGATTGACCTTCCAGTAGTTTTAATGCTTGCTGGTTTCCTCTCCTCATCTCCAGGCAACCATCATGTCGGGCTCCACGCTCAGCCTGAACCATGACCCCACGCCGCTGCGCAGCACGCTGGGCCGCCAGTCCAGCTTCCAGGAGCGAAACAGCTCCAAACCACAGGTACCAGAATCCTTTCAGTCCCATTCACAAACTCTGACTGTTTGCCGTTTTCCGAGTGTTTTCAGTGACGCTCGATTGGTTTCCTCAGGTGAACCCACGCTCCAACACCTTGCCCTCTGACCCCCAACGCAGAGCCTTTGCGATGAAAAAGATGAGGCAAGAAGTGAACGACATCCTAAACCAAAACCCTGTGGAGCTCCATAAGGTAGTGAATGCGCCCTGCATGCGCTGCCGTCTGCTGAACCACGTTTTAACTCTGGTTCTGTGTTTTTTAGCTCACCTTGGAAAAGGCCTCAGACCTGGAGGATTTCGGATTCAGTGTCTCTGACGGGTTGTTGGATCGCGGCGTCTACGTAAATAACATCCGACCAGGTGGGCCAGCCGAACGGGGCGGCCTCTGTGCCTATGACCGAATACTACAGGTACAGAACCACAAACAGAACCTGGCAGTTACAAATTTAATCTGCTCTAACAATGTCTGGAGAATTTTATTGCGATATTTTGAGGTACTGTTGCGATAATGATAAACGTTGTACCTTATAAACATAAATACTGCTTTGGAAAAACTTACTTTAATCACTGTATTATCCAGTCCAGCCTGGTTCTGACAACCCAACTTGTCCCGTTAGATTAACCACGTCCGGACCAGGGACTTCGACTGCTGCCTCGTCGTTCCTCTCATCGCAGAGTCTCCAAACCGGCTGGAACTGGTCATCAGCCGAAACCCCTCCTCTTCCTCCACCGCCGCCCCGCTGGCCAACCACAACGACGGCATGGCCAACAGCAGGCACTCCCCTCAGCCAACCAGCGCTGAGGTGGGGCCGGCAGAGATCTCTGTGGAACAGGTGGAAGACTGCGGTCCAATCAAGTGGAACCAACCGAGAGACGTGTTGGGGGTGGGGAAGGTCACCAACAGCTCCTTATAGCAGACAAGAACCGGATCAAACTGGAATCAGCCGCTTATGACCAGAGTGGACTGGAGAGGTCAGTGGGGAAGTCAGTAGTATATCATGGAAATCAAACTGGTTTGCTTAAACTGGTTCAAAGTGGACCTCTCGTGGTGTTACACACACCCTCTGGATGGACGTTGGCCTTTGACCTCTTAAGTTTGACCCTTGGAAGAACTGCTGAAGCAGCTTAAAAGCACACCAGTGGACTGGAAGAAGCCTCCTCACACCGTCACCAGAACCAGTTCTAGATACTGGGCCAACTGATCCCACTGGAGTCACAGCTGGAGCTACTGGAATAAGTGGTTCTTTGAGTCCAAAGCCAGAGCTACTGGTCCAACCGAAGCCACGAACGCAGCCAACTGCATCTGCAGGATGGAGGCCCAATGAAACCAGAACCACATTGGATGGTTTTATTCTTCTGGGTCAATGGTTCTTGGTTCTAGGAGCTCGACCCGGGACTTATTGTCCTGCCTGTCTGGTGAAAGGCATGTTGGTTCTGGTCTTGGTCAGAACCACAGCCAATGGGCTTCACTGGTCCAAGACGTTGATTCTGGTCTTGGTTTCAAAGCCTGGTTCTAAGTGGGCCAAAGCCACAGGTAATGGCCTTACTGGTCCAAGCAGTCCAGAACCACCTGCTGGTTCTAGTTGAGGTCTTTGTGCCAGAGATGTGGCCACTGCTTCATGGCTTCTGGTTCCAGCATAACGGCTTCAGGCTCTAGTGGTTACAGATCCACAGCAGCACAACTACTGACTGGGTTCGAGTCCTGAATCCAGAACCTAACAATAGATAGGAAGGTTGCCAAGGAGACGAGGGATGCTCCAATCTGAGGGTCTACATCTGTTTGTTTTCTCTTAAGAGAACCTGAAGTGAAGGTGGAATTCAGTTTTATCTTTAATAATCTGAAATCACCGGTCCAAAGTAAGACCATATCACTGCTATTTGATCCAGAAAATCACTCTGGGCTTTAGGTTTCAAACGCTGTGGATGCACCTGCTCAAAATGATCTTTAACCTTAATGAAGATAACCTTTCAAACACTGTTTAACATTCTGGTGAGCACTAAAAGAAACCCAAACTTGACTAAGTGAGGTTTCAGGTTCAGGAAGGCAGACAGTTACTGGACCTAAACGGTTTGGTTCAAGGTGTATTCCCTGTTTAGTCCGCTTTAATCAAACTCTACCTTGTCTAGAAAGTCCGGTTTGTTTGGGAAGGTGTGAATACGTATTGAAAGATTTTCTGAAATTGACCACTTTTTAGCTGAAATATTTCAATTTGGACATTTTGGAAGCTGTTTCTGAATCAGTTGGTACTGATTGGAGCATCCCTACCAACACAAAGATGGAGAATTTACTGTAGGGATTTTTAGTTTTGTGCCATAAATGAGCTGCTGAACGAAAGATGCAGAGTAATTATAATGATGATGATGATGATGACACTGAGCAGTTCAATAAGAATCTTTTTCTACGGTTTACAGCAGTTGGACTGGCCACACTGTGTATGTCTGTGTGTGTGTGTGCGCGTGTGTGTGTCTGTGTTACAAACGAGGCCAGTTAACTCCGTTTCCTGTCTTGGCTTTATCCTAACGTCTCTCCTTCCCTCAACCAATCAGCAGCCAGGATGAGAGACGACGGCACATCGGCTGATTGGCTGGAACCAATCAGAACGCAAACAGTTCCCTGCCTGTGTGTGATTGGTTAGTGTATGTGTTGAGGAGAGCCAATCAGCTCCCAGAAAAGAGGCCAAGCATGCCCCCTCTCCCCTCCCTTTTCCAGCCCCAGTAACGGTGACCTATTATGCTAATCAATAAGTGTGATTTTGATTGACTGTTGTCAGTTCTCTGTTCGTTTCAGTGGCAACCAAACCTAAAAAGATGTACAGAAGTTTAAAAAGAAAAATGGTTGACGTCGCTGTTCACATCTAGACCATCAAATCCCAGTAACCTTCACCTTATAACCACAAAAACGATGTTACATGAGAAAAAACCTGTCGGATCAGGAAAACTGTGACACTAAACACATTTTCTGTGTGTTTGAGAGCGAATGATGTGTAACTGTTTACGTTGGATGTCAGCATCTTCCTGCTCTTCTCAGTCTGAACTCACTATTTAAACTGGCCAATCAGAACCCTCCCTCAGCATCAACAGCCAATCAGAACCCTCCTTCAGCATCAACAACCAATAGGAACCCTCCCTGAGCTGGGAGGGTCCAATGCAGTGGGTTATTGACTGGTTGACTCTGATTCTCTAATCTGAATAAGCACATTACCCGCATATGGTTAGCAAACATCGAGCACAGGGCTAACACAGCACAAAGGTAGTCAGGACTAGTTAAATTAAATCACCTAGTAGATTGTTAGTGATCAAACCCAGGGCAAGCACGGCCAGTCTGTAACTAGCACAGACCTTGCACAATGCCACAACAGGGCTAACGTTTACTAACTGAGCAGCTGATTAGCATGTGGCTTGCACATTAGGTTTTGTACGGATGCTTTTCAAAGTCAAGGGACTTCCTGATCTAGAATGTGAAATTAAATTAGATCTGTTTTGAGGTAAAGTCTCCATCAGATCATTAAATATCCCAAAAAGTTGCTGGTGGCTAACCAGTCAGCTAGCAATGGGTATCCAAGGGCTGAATCTTTCAAAGGTTGACGAAGAAGCCAATGAAGGTTGTCAGATGTGACCATAAATGCATTGTCTGAAGTGCTGTACTGTCAAGTTCACAGCTGCTCACTTCTGGTCTTTGCAGTCAACAAAGTGCCCGGGTATCAATTGGGAAGGGCGGATTCTTTGAAGGATGTCTTTGCAACCATTAGCATTACGTTGTAGGATTACCTGTTTTCTATCTTTAAGAGAGGAGGAACTTTGAAGTCTTTAGTGCGGCTGTGAAACTTTGATGGTAGTTCAAGTGTTTTGTTGGACTAATTGGCCACTTAGTTCATTTGGTCCCACTAAAACCAGAGTGAAAAGTTAGGTCACATCCCAGATAACAAGTTTCATTCTTTTCAGTACCAAGGTTTCTATAATTACCTTCCTCTGTACGGTGGCTAAACTCTGCCTTAGAGATAAGGTGATAAGGAAGAACTTGGAGTAGAGAATCTGCTTCACAGCAAAGAAGTCACCAACGATGGTACGGGAATTTTTTAGGATTCCTCCTAGACACTCCTCTGTGGAGATATCCTAACCACATTGCACCTGGAGAAGAATAGCTTAGGTCAACATTCAGGAATTCTCTCTGGCCAAGACATTCCGGAAGTTTGTTAGTCCCGATGGACCTGGTGCCTCCTCAACCTGATCTCATAGGCAGATATTCATCCATCAGTCACTTGCTTTCTGAAAACCTAAAACCTTTCCTACTGCTGGTCAAAATCAAGAAGGCAGGTTTTCAAGCTCTGTCGTCATTACAACCAATTTTTGTGTTACTTTGGTGTGGAGTGCCTTTGATGATATCTTTGTTCTCCCATTTTGTGATGAAACAGAACAGATGCAAGTGCCCTTTTAAATCTGGACTTCTGGCAGCTCTATTTATAGCTGAGCATAAAATGGCTGTGAGAAAGAGTAGCACCTCTAAGTTTGAAACTATGGTTGTAAGAAGGTGGAGAAGAAATTGAGAAGGCAACCATCTAGCTCATCAATCTTGCTAGCATTCATTCAGATTGTCTGAAATTAAGAAATTTGTCACAAGAAATATATGTAGTCAGTATGCTCGCCTATGAAACCACAACCGACCGCAGAGAGTGCATAGAGTCCGCGTTGCGCACAGATTGCGCACAGTATGTCTATATGTGGGGGCCTTAAGTTCTGCTTTCCACTGAGTGCCTTTATGCTTCTGCCACATTCGCTATGCCACACTCAACACACTTCAATAGACAACCTAGGGTTGAGTCCATTGGCCCAAGGCACCTCAAAATGTGGCGGGAAGGGCTAGAATTGAATTCACAACCTTTTGTCTGCAAGATGACTACTTTAACCTTACTTAGGAATAAGGTAGACTTGACAGGATTGGAGTCTGCTTCTCTGCACTGAGCAACGCCATCTGAGATGGTTTCAACATTGGTTGAAATGCTTTATAGATGCCTTTTACTGGAGATCTTTGCTGGTGCCACTGGAAGGAACCATGAAGCATGGTCTCCATGATTTCGTAGAGAGATTTCATCTAACAAAAAACTTGCGAATATCTCAGAATTTCTACAGTTCAGCTGGACATTTGAGGATATTCCTGATGCTGTTGCACCACAAGCCAGAATGATAGATGAATAGGTAGAAGGAAGCAAAGGAGTACAAAGATGAACATAGCATCCTTGGGATATCCCTGACTTTGGAAAGCACCCGTAGTAAATATGAACTGTAGGTCAGTCCTAAAATTACGTTCTAAGAGTGAGAACAATGATGGTACCAAATCTTGGCCTACACCACAAAGCAGAATTAGTCAAAACTTCCTCATTTCTTACCATGTTGTTTTATTTATTCAACTATACTGCATAGAAGTTAAGTTTGGGAAGACAATCCCAGTTAAAAATGGGTCAACATCCTTCACTTTCATCAGTTTTACTTCCTTGGACAGCTTAAACAATGGTTCTGCAGCCAACTTACAATGCTTTGACCCATAATTTAGCACCATACTTTGTGTTTTCCTTATAAAATTTGTAGCTTCAGCTCTGTGGACAGGATTGGGTTGGATTTGTGAAACCAGCTTTGTAGTTGAGGCCAAGTTGTCCTGAATGTTCATGTACGATTGAGAGGTAAAACATGGCTACTATCATGATATATGCAAGCATGGCAAACAAACCAGGCTACCACATGAACAAAACATTAGCTAATGGCAACATTTTAGCGCTCAGTCAACACAAACCTCTTGACCAATGAGAACACCCGCAGAGCTGAGGGGCGTGGCTTCAGAAGGTTTGACGAGTGAGGTCCAAAGCCATACACACTGTGCTTGCGTGTATGTAAATAAAAAGTGTGTACGTATGTTAGAGTGTGCGTTTGTATTTGTGTGCATGTGTGTGTAATATTGCAGGGATTTGCACTCTGGTGATTAACCTCAGCAAAACATGTGCACACAGACACACACACACATATATACACACGTGCACTGCACTGCCATTTAAAATAGTGGGTCAGATTAGATTCCATGTAGCTTCACCAACCAACCAAACTGTATTTTTCTTTTTCTTTAAAGGAACAGGGATGTTGTAAAGTATTTTTGTACAAATTTAATACTTTGGTAGCATGACGTTCCTGGTGTTTGTCCTGGTCCTGTCGGGCTCCACTGATCTACTCCACCCCCCTTTGTATGGACTACTACTGAGCAACAATAAAGATGAAAACCTACTGAAGTCCATGTTTTTCACATTATTGCCCACACAGACACATGTTTGTTCCCATTAATTTTAGCTCCTTTGTCAGAAATACAATGTTAAAGTATGTGATACGTGATATATCTGTATCTGCTGATGTTTGTCATTTTTTAAGGTATCGGCTTTGTCTCAGGGATTTTCGCAGAAGCTGATTGGCAGACCTAAGGATCTGGACCAGAGAGGTATGGAGTTACAAAACAGCAACTTTGGTAACCCTTCATACATACTAGGACCCTTTAATTGCAATAAAACAGAACTCTCTCTCTATATATTTTTAAGTATGCATTTGTCAGCTTACACATAACTTCTTTATGTTAGTTGAATTATGTCACTTTCAATCTTGCACTGTTTATTCACTATTTTTGATAAGGATAAGTTGGCAACCCTTACAAACAATAGTGAAGATATTAAATAATTATCATAAATTTTTTTTGTCTTGAGTTATCATTAACACGAAGAAAAACAAAATATGGCCTATGCAGCTAATCATTAGTCTATGATATGTGTCGTTTGCTTAAATTGAACAAAATGTGGTGATTTCCGGTCACCATCTTGCAACTTTGATGACATTTACATTTTTTCTTTTTATGCGTAGTATAGCCAGTTATTTTCCATGAATGGATATTTGAGGATTTTAGTACTTTATCAGAAAACTGTAAGATGGACTGATTTATTTTTATTTTATTTATTTACGTTAAACCAAACCGGATGTGACTTCTTCACTCGGCGCTCTCCTCTTCTGCCTGACCTGCTCGGTGAATCTGTGGGAGACTAGTCTGGACTTTTCTCCGGTTTGTTGCCGTTACCTTCCGCGGCTGCTTTTGAACGTGGATATTAAAGAAAACCGGGAGAAATTTATTTTTACCAATTTGTCTGCAGGAGAAATAAACACCGAACTCCGGACTAAGGATGTCCACCGCCTTGGAGAGCTACATCAACCGTATCCTGCTTCTGTTAGCCCGCTAGCCTGCTAATCAATGTCCGTTTAAATGAATGGAGACATGCTAGTTAGCCTAGCCAGCTAATAAGCAAACTCCGCGTTAAAAAGAATGAAGACATGCTAGTTAGCTTAACACGCTAACCTTCCTAACTACGAGGAATATTTGGTTTATTTTCTTTATTTAAAGCAGTGTGCGCAACAATGAGACAAACATTGAGAGAAATGTTAGTATAGAAAAATCTGTTAACTCGTTTACTGGTTTTCGGAAGCCAATGTTATAACATTATTGTATAAAAATAAAATATCTAGATACGGAATTGTTAGTTTCAAGATTAGTTATTTATGCATTAACATTTGGTCTGTTTTTCGAAAATGTTTCATTTGGAATAGAAAGCCAGAATAATAATAAAAAAAAACACAAACCGTCTTTTAGCTTCATAATTGTATCTTCATAGTAAATGAGAGCAGAAGAATTTTCAATGTTTTTCCTTGTAGCCACAGTAATACAGTCGTATTCAATGAATTAGAATTTTACAGAAAAGTTTATTATTTCAGCTACACGCATAGATTAATTACACAGAGACATGTTTCTAAGCATTTATTGTGTTAATTATAATTTTCTACTTGTACCAAATGAAAACACATCATAGTGACAGTGCTGGAGAAACCTCTGGATGTCTCTGACTTCTCATTGAAATTAATTTAACTGTTGAAATGGTGCAGAAGGAAGATTTTTGTGTTTTAGAAACTTAATTTGAAAACTTCAGAATAACGAACAGCGTTTTAAACTTCTCTGTTGTGACTGTATGAAGCTGTAGATGTTTGTTTCTTTAACTGCTGCTGCTTCAGGCACCGTGGCCATTGTCACGTCAGACGGCAGGATGATTGTAGTAAGTATTTTAACTGGAGGACATTATGAACTCATGGATTCATCTGGGTTAATTATAATCAGATTTCATCCTCACAATTTTAAGACATATATTTTTTCTTGATATTGTTCAACACTAATTGACGCTAAGTGGGGTATGAAAGATTAATCTTTTATATTTGATCAGAAAAAATATTTGTTTTGCTGAACAGGTCTTTTACGATCGACTTTAAAACAAATCTGTGTTTTATATCTGGAGAAAAATAAGTTTTTCAAGAACTGACTGTACTTTTTAAAATGTGACCTGATTATTTGTTCAGGGAACCCTGAAGGGCTTCGATCAGACCATCAACCTGATCCTGGACGAGAGTCATGAGCGAGTTTTCAGCTCCACTCAGGGGGTGGAGCAGGTGGTGCTGGGACTCTACATCGTCAGAGGAGACAACGTGTGAGTTGTTTCCTGCCTATTAATCAGTGAAGTCATATTGACTAAAAAGTCTAAAATTCACTTTCAAACTGAGAAAATCTGCTGGAGAAAGGAGAACAGGTTTTTCAAAGGGTTTGGCTGGTTTGACTCGGAGCAGAGAGAGAGGGAACCACAGCAGCTGAAAATGTAACACTTGGTCACTAATTGAACTGATTCTACCAGACTTGTGTGGGAAAACATCCTTAAAATTTAAAACTACCTCTTGGCCTGCTAGAATGCAATTAACCAACCTCTGCAGAGTCTTGGTTTAAAAGCAGACTTAAATAATCAGGCTTTTATTTCACAAGCCTTTAATGTGATTAACTATATATTTATAAATCAACGTTGCTGAATATTAACAAGTAGTATTAATTCAAGCTGTATTGTAATTTGTCTACCTCGTATATCAGTGTTTTGGTTCAGACAGTGAGGAGGGGAATGGTTGTGTTTTTATGCATTTTGTTTAAATGTCTTGTTTTAACTGGACTGTGCTAAGCTCTGAGCTCTGAGGTGCTCCACAGAGAACTCCAGGGATCGAACCTCATCAGTTTGTTCTGTTTCAGAGCCGTCATCGGAGAGATCGACGAGGAGACGGACTCCACGCTGGACCTGGGAAACATCAGAGCCGAGCCACTCAACTCCGTTGTCCACTGACCTTTAAACTCCTCCATACCCTACTCTACTGTGTGTTCGTTTGCAAACTGAATAATGACTTTATCCTCTTATACACCTCTGTCTGTTTGTGGGATTTTATAAATAAAGATAATTGAACTGTTAGATATCAAAATTTGCTTTTCTGTGCTTCAATAGGAGACATTTTTAATAAACTTAATTTTTTTGTTGTCTTTGTATTGGATCTCATTTGTTTTGTTGTTTTCTAGGACACAGATTCACTTTAAGACCATGGTATTTAAAAAAATGTATGGAACAGATTTGTTTCTGTGGGATTGAGACATTCTGAATGTTTTATTTTGTATTTTCATTAAAACATAACGTTAAATCTCAAATACATTCACAATATAGCGGCTCATTTCTTTCAGTTTTGGCAAAATAAAATTTAATCTTTTCAAATTCACTGTTGTTGAAACATTCGGCAAAAAACTAAATCAACGTCCCACACTGACTGGGAAGCGATCCAACCAACGTGAACCGTAAAAATATCACGACCAGAACGGCATAGTTCGAACTTTATAAAGTCTACTAGCACTGGTTGGCGTTATCTCCTCGTTAGTATAGTGGTGAGTATCCCCGCCTGTCACGCGGGAGACCGGGGTTCGATTCCCCGACGGGGAGAAAATACCGTTTTTCATTTTTTCCACCCGCTTTACATCTTAGTGTATAAACTATTCATAATCTCCTTGACAAATTGTGCGCCTTTCACATCACTGATGTATATATAAAGATTCTTCATTTAAAAATGAAAGATTATGCGTGTTCTTCCTTAATATTTTCCTCCAATATTTGTTGTCATTAATTGTTTCGTGTACTGTTATGCTACTGATTGCTGTATCAAATTAGAGGCAATCTATCTGGGACGTCGGTCAGTTTATTGAAATCAGTTGAAATTCCTTTTTTTTACGTTTACGTTTTTACGCATTCTGCGTATTTTCTAACTGTCCAGCAGAGGGCGCCAAGAACCCAAACATACAATGTTCTGAAAAGACGTGTATTGATTTACTAGAAAGGAAAGGTTTGTCACTAAAATTATTTTAAAACGTTTCTTTCTTTATTTATCTTCTATTTAATACACTTAGAATTGTTTTTATTTTGTAATTATCTTTGAATTTTCTTCTTTGTAAAGTCTTTGAATTACTGTTTTGGTAGTAAACTAACAAAAATACGATTTTACTGTTTTCAGCTTCATTATGTTTTAATCCCAGCACACTGAAAAAGTATATGCATCCCTTAAGTTTAAGAAATTTTAAAAGTTATTACCTAAAAAGGTGGAAGTTTAATGGATAAATGAAAAGATATACAGAAACTATGTTTTTTGATTTGAAGATTTGCTACTTTTAGGATTATAACAGAAACTATAGAGTGTGGATCAGTTTGATGTATCACGGTGAGACTGCAGTACTTCTGCTACTAAAGGGTATCCATGTTCTGCTTCTCTGTTGTTTTTTCCTACAGTCAGAGCTTTCTGCAGCAGGTTGATCTGGTCTGGACCCGGAGCCGGATCTTCATAATGAATCCGCAACCAGGAGGCACCTGGAACAACAACAAATAAGACAAATTAATCAGGTAAAAAACAGGTAGCAAGCTGTCATCAGAGTCTCACCTTTTTGAACAGTCTGACCGGGAGACACCAGAAGCTCCGCCCCCACGCTGTGGTTGATTGGCTCACCTGCCTTCGATCGCCCCGCCCCCAATTTCTGCAGAACCTGAGCTAGAACCAAACCATCCACACCTACAACAACTCCTGGGTGAAGACAAAAGGGGGCAGGCGTTAATTCAAGAAGTTATATTTGAATTACTTAGAAAATAACGAAGATGTAAGTTAGAGTGAAAATGTGAGGTGTGCTGTATGAGGAGTTCAAAACCGTTTTAAATACAAGCTGATCCTCCATTTTTTAACCAATTTATAATCAGTAATCAACAGAAGAATATTACGGCACGGGTGAAAAAAAAATCTGACTTTAATCTCATTATTCTGAGTCTTTTTCTCAGAAGATTTAACTCAGAAATTTAACTTTTTTCCCCTCAGATTTCTGACTTTTGATCTAATCTCAGAATAATTTCTTAGATATTATTTTTTTTCTCAGAATTCGGATTTTCCTCTGAATTCTTACTTTTTTCCCAAAATGTTTCCTTTTTGATCTCTAAAGTTTCTGAGGGCAAAAATTAGGACGTTTTTGTCAAAATTATGATTTTTTTTTCTATTAGATTTCTGAAATTTAATCTCAAAAAATTAAAGTCAGAATCATTACTCATCATGGTTAAACTTGACCATCTATAGGAGTCTTCAGTTCCAGTTGATGATCAGACTTCCTCAGGACGCTGTAGTAATCAGTGTGGGCGGAGCAAAGCATCCGGGCCGTCTGATTGGCCACGCCCTGAGCCGTCATCATGGCCTCGAATTTAGACAAGGCAGCTCCACCAATCACAGCGTCGTAAATCTGCTTTCTGCCCTCTGATAGGCCCGGCGCCAGGTTCGTCATCTCCAGCAGCATTCCACCTACCGGAATCAATAATGATGCGTTCTCGGTCAATTTCTGCCATTTCAGCTTTTAATATTAATTTTAACACCAAGCAACTTGACTCCCAAGGAGTTTTTAAGTCAAAACACATTTGATTTTTGCTGAGCAGTTTGGGATGGCAGAATAAGCAGTTATTGTCCGCTAATGGACTGAAAGTAAGTGGAAAAAGGAGTAGCCAAAGTCTTCATAAAAACTACAAGATCTTCAGAAAGTCTTGGACACTGTTGATAAAGACTATTCTGGTGGATTATTTAATATGTAGAATCAAAATGTCTGAATAACACCAATCCAACTGTAAACGCTTTGATTTCCCTGATTTCCCAGTTTTCCTGAACTCCTCATTGACCTGTTTGCGCAACAGATGCTAGTGAGGCTAACGTTAGCCCAGCGAACCACTACAACGTCGGAGTTTAATAAATGCCAACTCGTTTCAACGCTTCCAAACGACGGTAAACACTAATGTATGCTTTTTTCGCTATATTTAGCCGTGTATGTCAATTAAATTCCTATTGAGAAGATATTAAATTCCAAAATTTAGATAATTAGCTGTGCAGCCAACCGCAGCACTTAGCTAATTGGCGACAGTTGGAGCTAAAGTTTTGCAGCTAATTAGTTGCAAAGCGCCCAGTTTTAGCTGGTTTTAATATACTACAAGGAAATTATCGGTTAGTTCAAGTTTTTAATGCACAGTTTTGGCAAAAATATGTGATAGAAATGCTTCATATTATCAAAACCTAGTAAAATACTACACTAAGCTAAGGCTTTGCTGCTGGTTTCCGTAGTTCATGCTTGACTGGTTAATGATAAACCACATTCCTTCTGGAGTTTATGTTGAAGAAATTATTACTTTGCAGTCTGGAAACATACAGAAGTTAATTTAAATATTTTGCGTCCATATCTTAAGTATGAAAAATTAAAGAATGTTAATATATTAAAATATTGATTATCATCCTATTGTTTATGAATCTATTATCAACTCATTCATTAATCCTTTTGAATTAAATATCATAGTAAAATATTAAGTTTCTTCATGCGTTTAGAAGACTTTTAATGGACTCTTCCCTCCTCAGTTTATGTGGTTATCTGTTGTTATTTATCACCAGTAAATATTGTTTGGGAAACATTACCAAGCACTGTCAGGTGAAATTACTCAATCAGGGGTTTTCATATATTGTGCACAACACAGAGAGCTTGTAAGATAATCAATAATGAAGCAGTTCTGAATGACAAGCTCTAACAGGCAGAGAAAGCACATGAGTTTTATACCAAGAATAAGGATCCAAAACAAGAGGAGAGGCAGTCTGCTTCTCATGCAGCTGTAGGAAAACGGCCCCCAACCTTGAACATGTAACCCAAAGAGCTTCATCAGGTGGGAAGTAGAATAAACATATACCTGATGGCAGATATTACCCAATAACAATTTTCTCACTACAATATACTTTTATAGAGTTTTAAAGGATGAAAGATAATTTAATTTTAATAAGAAAGGTCAATTTAAGCGTAAAAACAAACGATTATTAAGGATATCTGGAACCTGGAACTCAACTGAAACAACTTTTATAAAAACAAAATATGGCATATATAGACATAAAACTGCAACCCTTTAAGTTTGAGTGATTTTCTTTGTATTTTCAATTTTGTTTTTAGGAAATGGGTGACCAGACTGAAACCTCTGGAGAGACTGCTGCTGCTGCTTGTTCTGGTAAGATCAATCTGAATTACATTTATTAATTTCCTGTCTGTAAGTGTTAAATAAGTTTCTGTTCAGTTTTGAGAAGGACCAGAAATATGCATAGCTGTCTACATTTAATCAGTACAGAACATTTTTTTAGCATTAATTAGCTGAATGTGAAACATTTCATTAAATTAATGAATCAATTAGTTTTATTTATAATATAAACCTTTATTAAAAGTAACTCAAAATGCTGTTCAAAATTAAAACAGAAAGAAGAATCTTATAATCGATTGAGACAAGACCAGCTAAGATTGTAACTGTTGACTTCAGGAGGATGTCGACCTTGAAGAGGCTTGGTGGATTTCAGCGAACGGTGAGTTTTCTGTTTTTAATGTAAATCAACAGAATATCAAGAAGCTACAATCATTAACCACAAGAAGGTTTTGTGGTTGGATTGTTGTAGCTTCTTGTTGCTGAATTGTTTTTTTTTTTTTTTGTCTTTTTCATGTTGTTGATCCTTTTAGCTGGTGTATAAAAAAGCTCAAATCTCACATGTAGTTAAAATTTTTTTTTTTTTTTTTTTTGACAACGTATTTTGCCCCATTTCCGTTTATTATTAACGGACAGTTGACTCTTATAAATGTGAAGTTTGGAAATTTTGACCTCTCTTCAAACCAAACCAACTCTGACGGGGCTCTTGATGCCAAATGTTGTTTTGGTAGCCAGACTGTGAGTAGATGATGGACATTGATTTTCGCTGTTGGTTGTGAAGCTGGAAGTTTGTGGTTGTAATGAAAAGCAGACGGACGGAGGACGGCTCCAGGTGGAACTCCACCCCGTTTCTACGGTTTGCTCTCAGTATCTCAGACTCTGCTGTGGCTTTTATTCGTTAAGCACAGATTTTGCTTTCAGTAGCTGTTTGGTTGGATCTATAAACCATTGTGGGTCTAATTGGTACCAAATAGGTTCTTGTTGTTACCGAGCGTCGTGACCAGCTCCATCAGGTCATCGGGCCCATTTCCCTTCATCGTCTCCAGGGATTCGATCACCTCCAGGCTGTTTCCCACACATCGGCCGATGGTCCCGTCCATGCGGCTCAGCACGGCTCCCGTTCGGATGCCCAGGCTGTTTCCTGTTTCCATCTGAGAGAAACGTCAAGGCTTTACTAGAGCGGGGCGAAACCGCTTAGAAATAAAATCTACAACACATAGATTTTAACAAATTTAAAAACAAAATGTTTCACTTGATTTTTTTTCCAAAAAAGTAGCAAATGACAGAAAATATTTTCAAAAAGTGTTTTTTGAGTTGTACAAGGGAGGATTCTTGTTTAATTACAATAATATAGTCATAATATTAGCAGAATAAAGACACAGTTTTTCCAGGACAGCATCTTTAAATTACGAGAAAATCATTTTAATGAAAAAGTAAATAGATGTTGGGATTTAATGAGAGCAGTTCAGTCCATGTTGATATTTATTCGTTTAGTTGTCGCCTCAAACTCCAGCTGCTGAAAATAATTTGATGTGGCCAAATTTGAAGTTTTACCTCGTCTCTGAAATTGATACTAAACTTCATAAAAGCTCAACATTTCTCATATTTTATATTATTTTTCATGTAGGAGTTCTGCTTAAATTATTTATTCTCTTAATATCATAACTTCATTCTGGTAATATTAACACTTTAATGTTGTTTGAACTTTATCCTTGTATTAGTACGACTGTATTTCCATGAATTTATTCTCAGAATTTAAAAAAATAAAAAATCATATCTTGGCTTTACTATTCTGTCGTCGAGTTGATCTAAATATAAAGTCCAAATAAACAGAAGCTGTAAAACAAGATGGCCGCCCTTGACGCGCTGACATCACTCTGAACTATGGAAACATTTCAGATTCTTCCAAAAATTAAATCTTCAAAACCAAAAATTCGATTGGATTTTCCAACGCTGTAATTTAGCTGTTTATTAAACCTGAACTGCTAGGCGGCCATTTTGGAACTGGACTCACTAAGAGCTGAGCGAGCTGCTTGGCGCTCTGCAGGTCTTTGTACAGCGCCGCGCTTCCGAACTTCACGTCCAGCACCAGAGCGGACAGAGACTCGGCTCCTTTCTTTGAGATGATGGAACCTGAAAAACCCAACAGCGGCTCGTTCACATGTACGCCCCGATCCCAGCCGTCTCACTGATCCCAGTTCAGTACCAGTAATGAGTGGGAGGCTGTCCACGGTGCTGGTGGCGTCCCTCAGAGAGTACAGAACCCGATCAGACGGAACCAGCATCTCCGTCTGACCCACGATGCAGCAGCCCACGGAGGCCAGGATGGTCCGGATCTGCAGACAGGAAACGCCTGGTTGGTCACTTCCTGTCAGTGTTTCACATCTGGAGGAATAATCTGGCTCTCCTCACCTGGTCGGCTGATTGCTGGATGTTGAATCCTGGAATGGATTCCAGTTTATCCAGAGTTCCTCCTGTATGAGCCAAGCCCCGCCCACTGATCATCGGCACCTGGTGAAGACGAAACGAGCGCCGAGTTTACTGCAGGGTAAAGGTCAGGGTAAAGGTCAGGGTTCCCTGAGCATCTTCTGCTTCCTGGTGTCACGGCTAGCTGACTATATCAACTAAATAAGCAACATTTTCAATTCAGAAAACCTTTTTTCCTTCTAAATTATTGAATAAATAGACAAACAAAAGAAATATTTATTATTTATAATCTGTTGTTTTGGTGATGCAGTCTTCGGATTTGAGATTTGAGGAACTCTTTATCATTCATGGAATATTCTTAGAAATGTGGATGCTAACATTAGCATTAGCATCATGTTTACCTGACAATCGCATAAAATATTCTGCAGATTTTTCATTTTAGCCACTTAAGACTTCTTTTTATTTATAAAATACCAAAATTAAAAGATGCAAATAAACGAATGATTAAATTTATTTTTAAAATAAGAAAATAAACATTTTACTGCCTGAAATGAAATAACAGCATTCCTTTAATGAACGCTTGATTATTTGTAGCAAAGGATTCATCTGCAGCTAAAAGCTCAACCATTTCTGCTCAGATTATTAGCTCTGCGTTGAGCTGATCTGGTGATTTATTGGTTTTTTGGATTAACAGATGAATAATTGGATATCAAAAGGAGCTTAAGAGGTAATTTTGTTTTGTAAGTTAAAACTGCTGCTCTTGTAGTTTTGGGTCAGACGTATTTCCGAAGGTTTTTTCCCATCTTGTTTTGTAAAGTTTTGGCTTAATTACAGCTCTGAGCCTGTTGTTCTTTATTACCTTTTTTTGAGTCTCCAGTTAACAATTAATCGATTACGAAATTTGTTATTTCAATAATTGATTAATCACAATTAATCCGATTAATCGTTTCAGCCCTAGTTCAAAGTCTACCACATGAAACGCCAGAGTGACCAGAGTTCACTCATCAGTGCTGCCCCTCCCCCACCTGTTGCCTGCCCTAAATATAAAGTGTCATTAGAGGAGAATAAAAGGGAAGAACTCCTTATTGGATCCATATGAGTAACTATTCAAGGTTTTCCAGTAGAAACACTGACTTGGTCCAGGTGTTACCTTACAGCCACAAGCCGCCAGTGCCGGCGCCAGCACCAGGCTCACTTTGTCCCCCACCCCTCCCGTCGAGTGTTTGTCCACCATCAGCCTCTTCCAGCTGTCCGGCCACTTCATCACTTCCCCGGACACCATCATCTCCCGGGTCAGCGTGCGAATCTCCGCGGCCTCCATCCCTCGCTGCCAGATCGCCATCAGCATGGCCCCTAGAACGCAGAGGCAGAAATAACAGCCGCTCGGCTTCGGTTTGGCTCTGAATCGAGTCGTTCCTACCGATCTGGCAGTCCTGCATCCGTTTGGTTGTTACAGACTCGATGAAGAACTTGATCTCCTCATCAGTCAGCTGACCTCCGTCCCTCTTCTTCCTGATTAGATCTACGATGGACAGCATGGCGGCCTGGAGAAACACGAATCTTCAGCTCCAATATTTACGTTTGGATGTTTACTGAGCCAAACATCAACTTTTTATTGGGTTTTAATTGGGGCTGATTGAATCAAATCAACTCTGTGAGTTTCTGATGACATAACATAATAAAACCTATTCCCTAATATTCCAGATTAGCTAAAATAATGTTTTCCATTTGTCAGATTTTAGTATTTCTTTGAAGTGAAGTTTGTTAGTATAGCATATTTCAGCAAAATGACAATTTAAATTGTTTTACATGATGAAAACATAGATCATTAAATAAAGAGAAGTTATAAAAGTTATAATCCAGACCAAAATTAATATATTTTCTAGTTATATTTGCTCAAATTCAGCTCTAAATACATTTTGTTTTTAGCCCTGATTTAAAGGAACTCAGTGTTTCGGTTGTTCTGCAGTTTTCTGGAAGTTTGTTTCAAATTAGAGGAGCATAAAAACTGTTAATTCACAGTAATCAGCCACGCCCCTAACTCCTCCTAACCTCCAGCGGACTGACTACTGACCAGCTCTCCATCTCACGGGTCCGAAAAGCCTCTAATTCCTGGGTATTACCGCAAATAAGAATGTAGAGAACTTTTGTTTAAGCTGGGAGCGAGAAAGATTCGTCTAAGCTCTAAATTTTCATCCAGACGTTATGACCCGCTTCAGTCCATGATTCAGACATCGGAGTAGCCCCGCCGGTGTCCGAGCTCATAAACCACGTCTGCTCATGGTAGCTCTTTCTCTATTTATTAACGTGCACTTGTTACCAGCTTAGATAATTTTAGCGACTAGGAATAAGTCCCAGGGTCATTATTTATCTGAACTAAAGAACGTACGAAGCCACCCTGATTTACTAGGACCACAAACACTGGTTTTACAATAATCAGAAGAATTAAATTTAGTTGACTCAAATAATTTAACTGTCCACAACATCAAATTAGACTTTAGTATTTTATTAGCAAGCTTTAGCAGGGGAGAAAAGACATACAGCAATTAACAAAGGATTAAGTAATCAATAGATTAAAGAAAATTTAGAGATTTCACCTAATTCTAAACCCTACACTGTGTCTTACTCTAACCAGAGGCTTTGGGGGAGGCAGTATTACTCAAACCCAGATGCAGAGACGATCTTTGGCAGCAGAGAACTTTAACGTCCATGGATGGAGTCCTGTCTTTGTCTTGGCAGAATCCTTTTAGAATAGATCCAAAGTTGAACTGGTGAGAATCCTCAACAAACTCAGTTCTTAATCCAAATACGATCTTTGTCCATTCCCCATGTCCACTGCAGCATCGTTGGAATCCTTTGGGTTGAGTGTGGGGCCGCAGTCGAATCAGAATCCCGGGTTGTGGGTAAACGGATCTTGTTCCTTTCTTGTGCAGCGAGCAGTCTCATCGTCCCGGGGTATCATCACGCAGCCCTCCGTTGATTCTGCATCTCCGTGTGCTCAACTCGAACGCCGCGGAACAAAGAACCCCGATCCTCCTGTCTAGTGTCTTTTTATTCTTATCAGCAGCCGCCCAACTCTTTCAATTCCTCTTTTTTGGTCGTGTACAGGTCAGCAGCCCACACAGCTGCGTCTTGGTTGGCCTCAAGATGAACTCCCTTGTTTTTTAGAACTGAACTTTCTGAAGTTCTCTGTTTGCCCTCTGCACCTGTTTCCTTCATGCATCTCAAAAATCTCACTTCCTGTTTCTGCTTGGACAGATGATCTCATATCCATCACCATCTTGGAGACATGATGTCTGTTCTGATGACCTAATGTCTTGGTCACCTCTGCTCTCCTTTCGGTTCCTCTTTTCCCCTAACCTTTCACCTACCATCGACCTCTAACACAACATCAGTGACCTTTAGTTACAGTTACACATTTCACCACATTTCAAGTTCAATGTCAAAATCACATTTATAACCTTTTAGTTTTTCTGATTTAGCATTCATTTGTAATTTTATAATAACCATCACTTAGTAGTTACTCCTATTATAATCATAATGTGAGTTATTACAGACATTTCTGAAAAGAAACCAAGAATAATCCATTATTCTAATTATTTGACACCATGTTACAGTTACTTCTTTCACCTTTAAGTACTTCCATAAGTACAAGAGTAAGTGTTAAATATTCTTATAATCAAACCAACATCAACCATTGGTTAAACCAATATTAATTATTGGTTTAATCATAAGTTATCATTATTAATTCAATGATTTTACTCTGGGTTTTATTCAATTACTCAAAATGTTTAGATTTTATTCTTTAAACCTTTAATGCCCTGAATGAGCAGCCTGAACTATTTTTAATCACTGCAGGCTGGAAACTTCCTCTTTCTTCAGGAAACCTGCTTTTCCTGTTTCATAACTCTCTTTCTGTCTGACTATGATTTTTTATGATTAAATAGAAAAAAGTAGAATTAAAGCAAAGTTTGCAGGACACAATAACAACACACACAACCAGATTAATTTTATTACCATCTGACTCTACTGTTGGGTCTTGATGTCACCTGTGTAATCAGTTTTAAAGATAACTTTATTTATTGTTATTATTAAATTAAAATCTCCAGAATGGGGAAGTGGGCTGAGTTCGACTTTTCACAACAAAACTGAAAGCTGATTCTCCATTTTTAGTAATTTATTTAATATTTTTTGGTGATCAAATAAATAATTTAACTAAATTGATTAGAAAAAAATACTTGAATTTAGTTGGTACTGCTACATAAAAACATCAGAGTTTTTGTGTTTAAAATGCAGATTTGTCCAGTTCAAGGCTTTTTAATTCAAAAATGAATAAACTTCCTCCTTTAAGCGCTTATTAAAGTCACACAGACGGTAAATCATTTAACTGAAAATCTGCTACAATTCAGCAGATTTTCTGCCAGTTTATTGTCTCCTCAGCAGTAACAACTTTTTATTTTGCGACTAATCTTCAGCGTCATTAACCAACCAATAAAATCTGCTTTAAATAGAGAAAAATCTGATTTAAATGTAGCGTTTAGCTGGTCATAAAAGTCAAAGTGAGTGAGGCATCGCGCAGCAGATCGATCCTACCTGTTCGGCAGTCGAAGTGGCGTTGACCTGTTGGCAGAACGAGCCTCCTGCAGGTCGGCGCCATCAGCCAATCGGAGAGCAGGGGGAGGAGCCAGTTAGTTTACAGGAAACTCCTGGGTCACGTTGACGTTCATGTTGTGGTTATCTCGGTTTTGTTTGCAGACTGACCTGTACCTTCATGCCAGGATCTGCAGTTTGGATAAAAACCAAACTAACTCGCTTTAAAAACAGGTGTGACATTTTAAGTTGCTTAAGATGTTTTATCCCTTTAATCTGCAGCTTATTCAGAAAACTTCATTAATCTGACCAGAATATTTAAGATTTTACAGAAAACTTCATTAATCTGACCAGAATATTTAAGATTTTACAGAAAATCTTAAATATTTTAAGATTTAAGATAAATAAATCTTAAATATTTAAGATAAATATGGTCAGATTCATTAATCTGACCAGAATAATTAAGATTTTACAGAAAACTTTATTAATTTGACCAGAATATTTAAGATTTTACAGAAAACTTCATTAATCTGATAAGAATATTTAAGATTTTACAGAAAACTTCATTAATCTGACCAGAATATTAAAGATATTTTACTGAAACTCTAATCATTAATACCATCAGGAGTTTCTGGTTCTGGTTTATTCAACAAGGCAACTCAAAGTGCTTTACAGGAATTAAAAGAAAATACAAACAAAATAAATCAAAGGAAAGAAAAATAATCTAATCTTGATCTAAATTAGATACTCCTGTTCAGGGTTGGTAGATAAGTATCCTCTGGTCTGATTCCTTTTCTCGGTTGCAATAATGGGAGTCTCTCTGCATAATAATGTAAAAATGTAACTAATTAGTATAATATTGATCTAATAGTGAATACAGTTTCTAAAAAAATAAGCTAAAGAGTGACTAAATTGGAGTCTCTGGAAATCCAAGTTTGTCCAATTCCCTTTATGGGCTAAATAGGGAGTACTCCACAGTTTCTAAGAAAATAAAACAACACAGAGGAAAGGACACATTAGGGCAAATGGCAACATTCAGACAAAACAAAGGGCAAAACAAAGACATGAGTGAAGGCGGTGACGTCACAGGGACATGAAACCACGATGCTCAGCCTCCCGGCAGAAGTCCGATAAAGATGTTGTTATCGAGGAATGATGTCCTGAGGAGCGCTCGGCTCCACAGCTGCATGGATAACAGGAGGGGTGAGGTGGGAAGGAGCATTGTGTTGGAGATTGAAGACATCTCCTTCCCAGGCCACACGGGGAAAGCCAATTCAGATACAGAATGTTTTAGGTCGGGTAGATTATGAATTTCAATCTTCCCTAAAGTCTCTCCGCTACATCTCAGTTCCCAATCATCTAAATTAGTTAGGTTGTTCCACTGAACTGAAACTAGCAACTTCTCCAAGATCGATTCCATCCCATTAGTGAGTTTTAGAGTCCTTCTCTCTGTCCACACCAACAGCCTGAGTGCTCACTAGTTCGACTAAGTCCGTCACAAATTTGTCGATAATCCAGGAATCCACAAGCTC